ACCCAAATGAGTGAATTAAAAGAGATCCGCCTTACGGAACCACATACATTCAAAAAGAAAGGACACGAACAACAGTATAAACACAGAGGTGAAGTCCGTAGTCAGTGAAGCCAAAGACGCCGCCACCAGCGGAAAACAGGACGCATGCATCGCTAAGCTGAATGAAGGTATTGAGCTTATTCATCAACGCCAGAAGCTCATTCTAATAGCGGACAAGTGCGAGTATGGCTGGAAAACCGTCGGTAAATACCTAGACAACGAACTCGCTGATAACGACCAGGACGCCAAGAAAATGAAAAAGGCGGAAAAAGAAGGTCAGAGAAAACTTGCCGAAACGCGCGCCTCTAAGGCTGCGAGGGCTCGCTCCTGGTCATTCAAGTCTACGAGAGCAGTGGGAAGTACAAGCGTTTCGCCATTACAAAGCTCGTTCGCTTTCCCATCAGGAAATCACACATCCCGTTTTTCCACGTCTGTGGGTGGCACAAGAAATATTGGTCCATTTGTAGGCGGTACTCCCCAGAAACGTAGCACGTGTTTCAGCTGTGGTAAACCAGGCCATTGGCGAAATGAATGTCCTTTGTTGGTCGTTGCATAGGCGCAACCAGATGGAAAGAAGTTAAGTAATCATTTTATTGATTTATGTGATAGTGAATCCATATCGGAGAGCAATGATGCCTTTGAGCATGTTTCTGAAATAGATAATAGACCTGTTGAGAAGGGAGATTTTCTAGAGCGGGAATGCCGTCCAGACGGCGTTCGAGGGAGGCTTAAAACACATATTTTAGCGTGGAAAGAACAAGAGCCCACTGAAGCGGTTCTGAGTGTAATCAAAGAGGGTTACAAATTACCATTACAAACTATTCCGGAATCCTGCGCGCGTTTTGCGGAATAATAAATCCGCCTTAGATAATAACGACTTCGTCACGGAGGCCTTAAATGATCTCTTAGCCACCCAGTGTATTTCTGTCGTTGAAAGCCAGCCATGGGTAGTGAATCCTCTCACCGTGTCAACCCGGGATGATGGGAAAAGACGTTTGGTACTCGATTTACGGCATGTTAACCCCCAGCTTTTCAAGTATAAATTTAAATGTGAAGACATTACTACAGCTCAGGATCTACTAGGTATATCAAGAGTGCTTATCATCACATTGAAATTTTCCAAAGCCATCGAACGTACCTGGGATTCCAATGGTCCTGTCAGGGTAAAGCGACTTATTTCGTTTTTAACGTGTTACCGTTTGGTTTGTCCACCGCGCCTTACATATTCACCAAACTCTTAAAACCTGTGATAAGTCATTGGAGGGGTTCAGGTAAAAGAATTTGCATGTTTTTAGACTATGGTTTAGGCGGCAACTCTTCCAAAGAGTCCGCTACTGTTGACGCCAAAGCATTCAAGGAAGATCTCGGCCAATTGGGCTTTATTCTCAGTGAAAACAAGTGTGTTTGGGAAACATCCCTCACCCAGACCTGGTTTGGTCATGTTTTCAATATGTCAGAAAACCGTTTGTACGTAACTGAAACCAGGTTGTCAAAACTAAAGGAATCCCTTTCATCAGTTCTGGAAAGAACTGACAATGTTTCAGCCAAACTCCTAGCCCAGGTTACCGGCGGCCGCATTATATCCATGTCAAAAGCCATTGGTTCGGCCGTTTACTTGTACACCAGACACATGTATTTCGCGATAGAAACTAGGCAATCGTGAGACGCCATTATTCCTTGCTCTTGCTCAAAGGTTAAAGAAGAACTACAATTCTGGGATAAAAATGTGGGCCAGTTAAATGGTAAGAAGCTGTTCGACGAGCCTCATGTTTTTGATTCCGTGGTTTATTCAGATGCATCCGAACAGGGCTTTGGCGCTTACGTAGTTTCCGCAGAACAAAATCTGGTCTGTCAGCGACAATGGGCAGCTAACGTAAAGGAATAGAGCTCTACTTGGCGAGAATTTAAAGTCGTACACAATATGTTATTGTCCGTTGGACATAGCCTTAGGGGGCATAAAGTACAATGGCATACTGACAATCGAAACATCGTTCGTGTTATTGACAGAGGGAGCACGAAACCTGATCTTCAATCATTGGTTGAAGAAATTGTCTATTTGTGTGCTGGAAATCACGTTGTGGTTGTTCCCGTTTGGGTACCCCGGGAGCAGAACCAGTTGGCTGTTTACCTCAGCAAACTTACAGACGTTGATGATTGGGGTATAAATCCAGATATTTTTCTGTGGATCAGCACTCTATGGGGCCCTTTTACGGTCGACAGGTTCGCAACTTGGTATAACACCAAATGTCTTAGATTTAATTCCCGCTTCTGGAATCCCGGCTGTGAGGGCGTGGACGCTTTCACCCAAAATTGGCAGGGGGAAAACAACTGGCTGGTACCCCGGCCAAGCCAGATAATTAGGGTATGGCGATACCACTTAAACAATACCCCTGTGGAAAGGCGCTTTGTTTTGGCCCTGTGTATGTCCAGATGGAGTTCATTTAGCTAAATGTGTTTTGGACTGGGTTGGAGTCCCAGAATTCAGCTCGGCCGCCACGACAAGGGGCAGGACTTATAATTCCATGTTCCATGGTGAACGTCTCGAGTTCAAACTTAAAGCTTTGTACATAAACTGGCAGTCTATTCGCCAGGGAAGCAGTGACAGAGGTTTTTGCTTGTCAACAAAAGGTTTGTGTGAACATTACATTCGAGGTTAAACAAACCCTTAACTTTGCCGCCTACGGCATTAGTAAAATTGCAGCCCACAGGTGGCAAGAAAACGAGGAACCCGCAGGTGGTTTTGAACATCAGGCACTTAAATATTGTTCACTACACTCACAGGTGGTGTTATAATATTCATAGTAGGGAAATGTTTGCAGTCTAATATTAGCATCGGAGATATCTTCAATCTCATACTTGTCTTTATCACGCACAGTCTCTCTGTCTCTCACAGGTTTAAACCTCGATCAAGGCCCGTGGAAGGAGCTTCATGACCGTACAAGATCCGGCCACGGAAACAGTCATCTCACCCGCTTGTTTGAAGCGTTAAAGCAAAACAGCCCTTTCTTTAAAAGCTTGTGGAACAGTTGTTAACTACACTAGTTCTTTAAATCGTTGGATTAAGTTCGCTCGAGACAATAATTTAGTCGTTTTTTCCAGTTACTGTTGTTGATGTCGCTTTGTATTTTAGCTATTTGTCTACTTCGCAAATTTCTGCCTCCGTGATAGAAACTAATTTTTGCGCTTTAAAATGGATTCACGACATTGCTGGGGTTCACAACCCTACAGGGCTCTAAATTAACTTTTTCATTCGGGAGCCAGCTGGCGACTAACGGAAAAATTTTGGTCGCCAGATCGTAAAGTTTGGTCGCCAACTTACACGTATTTTATATATAACTTACACAAGAAC